AACTTGTGTGCAAGGGGCACAAAATTATTCAAGCTTAGCTACAGTTTGTGTATTGAATTGTTTCTACGTTGTCAATTTAATCATAGACAGTGAAGTACACCTGAGATATACTCTGCTAACAATTTGTGCACCAGTATAGTGGATAAATTCTTCCATATTCAAGCAATTGTGACCTGAATGCATAACCAAAAAAGTCTGCATTTTCTAGAAAAAGTTGCTATACTGTCTTTGGTATTGTACAACACTAGAAAAAGTTGCTACCGGTACATTGTCTTGGATATTGTATAAAACTGGTAAAAGTTGCTACAATGTTTTTGATAATGTATAAAATAGCTGACAAAGATCACAAGCATGTCAATGTTTATATGCAAACAAATTGTTTGAAGAATGTTTGTGACATGTCATATTTGGTGTAATACGTTAGGATTCTAGTCACAATTTAGTAATGTAATAAGTCTGGTTTTATTCAAAGGAAGACATTGTTTATTGTCTCTTAAAATAATATATATGGTTTATTTTCGATCTTTGAACTCTTAACTCTGACATATCTTTTTTTTTAATGGGCCATAAGCTGCATTTATGTCAATAGATTATATCATAAGCCATTCAAGTAAATATGGATGGCAGCATATTTCTGTCCGGTCAAATGACCCATATTTATAATCATATAGCAACTCATTAATATTCCTGTATTCCCTTTGTATATTAAGTGCTGTTTACATGTATCGTACTGCCTCCAGCATATTGCATGAATTAGAAAATATTACTTTCGGGGGATGTAGGGTCACAGGCCTTTAATATGAACAACTTAGAACTTACAATTTTGCTTAGATGCAGAAATTGGAGAATAATTAATCTCTGTGCTTAGAAGAAGTTCCCTGTATTGCAGTGCTAACTATAGTCACTCTCAACCTCAGAACACTGTTCTTCAACAGATGTTCTTGGAAAGAGTTTTGTCATTACAACGAGATATTTGGTCATATTATAGAAATTAAACAGAAGTCGATTGAGTATAGTCTTGTGATGTTGCCAACTTTCTGGGTGCAAGACAATTTTAAGCTGTTTCTATCTCTGAAGTTTCCATACAATCCCGCAAAACTATTACAATTGTGCTGCAATTCATGAATGCAGTAATATTTACAAGGTTTTTACACAGAATTGTTGATTCTCTTGAAATGTATATTTTCGTGAATTTTCCATGAGTTTTTGAGGTTTAAACTAGAGCAAACCACACAATGCTTTTGGTAGTTTTAGCTCAGATAGGCATTTCGTCTCTTTTCTTTGTAACGCTGTTCAATGAAAAAATAAAAGCATTAATGAGTTATTTAGATCAAAAATAAGATTTACAAGAGAAAATAATTAGCTGATCATTAGTTCCCATGGTGATACTGAGTTTTACAGGAGCCTTTCTGTCCTCTTGTTGTATTAGGTAATGAATTCAAGTGTACAGCGCCCTTAGTTGTTTTCAGATTGAATTGTGGGAAAACTAGTGCAAAACAATCTAAGTTTGAGTTGTATTCATATTGTTGCTAGCCTGTTATAGCTTATATATAATTATATATGGTAATGATACTGTAGTTGTTAGTTCTCTGGTTTCTGTCCAACTTATTCATTGACTGTGAAATTTGACCACTACTAATTAATGTGTATATTTAGTAATATAAGACTGGTATCATGTCCTTAATTTGTTTGTGTAAAATATATGTATTATGTGCGTCATGCCGGGACTGCTTTTTATGTTAGATATCAAATTGTACCAAAGAATGTTAATTATTGAGATTGTTGTTTTACTGAAATCTGCATTTTCAGATTTGATAGGTGTTTTGCTTCTATTAATGAATAATTATTTTTTTTTTCGTTATAACCGATAGAGTGAACCCAGATCTGTTGAATGCAGTTTCATCTAAACAAATGTAATTTTTGTAGTATTTGCTGAATTATTCAAAACATAGCATCACACCTTCTACAACCTCTTACAGTTGTGAAGAAAACCACAAGATTTTTGCTTTAAAAAATTAAGTCTATTATTTACAAAATGTACAGTTGTGAGCACAGTCTTGTGATCAACTGCTACATTGTTTATTTGTGACATAGATAAAATTTGTTTTATTTTATTTAATCGTAGGTTTGTATATATTTATTGCAGCTTTATAATATTATGCATTACTGGTATGTGTTTAATTAATCACGATTGTGATGTAAAAATCCCTCCCTCAAAGTGCAATGGTACTTATGATACTGTAATTTTCACTGCTCTCATTTTGCATACTAATTCGTTGATTTAAAGATGGTCATGGTTAAGACATTTTCGAAACAGGAACTTTTTTTGATTGGCCATTTCTAATTCTAAATAAAAAAAACTTTGGTACGAAAACTGGTCTTTGAATTGTGAACCTCATTTGTTTGTGTTTCACACTTTTTAAAAAAGGCCATCAAAGTTTATCGTTATGGGAAATCACTGTTGTTTCTGTGGAAACAAGCTCTGATATCCATGATTTTTATTTGATCTTGATTAATTATTTAATGCAACATTTCAATTCATGAGTTAGCCATTACCATCTTTAAGGAATTTACAAGATTGAAATTTCATGAATTCATCTTAGAATTCTCTAAAATTTGTCCCGTGCGAAATGAAAACAGTTAACAGTCTGCATCAACCTTCCCTCCAAATGTTCAGTACATACTGGGTAATTGCATAGCTTTTTGATGAGATTCAATTGTTGCCACTTTTTTTCTGTGCATATTTGTTGAAGCCATATGCTAGATTGTCAATAAAGCATAAAGTCAAGCAAATGGTACAATTGTGTTTATACTTTTATTCTGCAATTCTTTGAACCGATTTCAATTTTTCACTACTGAACCTGTGACTGAGGATATGTGTATTGCATTGTGGGTGAGAAAAACAACTTTAGCACTACTGTGATGGAACATGTGTGCATTGTATTGTGGGAGAGCAATCCAATTTTTGCACTACTTAGCTTGTTACAGAACATTGTTCGAGAGCAATCCAATTTTTACCTATTGAACCGGTGACTGAGGATTTGTGTATTGCAATGTGGGAGAGAAATCCAATTTTGCACTATTGAGCCGGTGAGGAAGGATATATGCATTGCATTGTGGGAGAGAAATCCAATTTTGCTCTATTGAGTCGGTGATGGAGGATAGGTACGTTGCATTGTGGGAAAAAAATCCAATTTTTGCACTACTGGGTCTGATAATCACTAGTCATATGTGCATTGCATTTAGGGAGAGAAATCAAAGTTTTGAGCCACTTTGAGGATATGTGCATTGCATTGTGGGAGGGAAACTACAATTTTTGCACTACTGAGCGTGTTACTAAGGGTAATTTATATTGCATTGGAGATCGGACATCGAGTTACAAAAATGACCACGCCAATATTTCAGAAACCATGTTCATTTTTGCGAAACCCCAATCAAATTGTAACTCGATGTTCAATTAACAGAAAATCAATGTTGCACTATTGAGTGATTGTCTGAGCATATATGCATTGTATTGTGGGAGAGAAACCCAATTTTTGCACTACTTAGTTTGTGACCTGTCATCTATCAATCTATTTATCCTCCAGATGCCTAATGGCCTCCAGTGAACGTCATATCAGCTGCTGCAACTCTGGATTCCATCCATGACGTCGATCCTGCCCTGTTTCTTTCCTTCTCTTCAATGTCAATTCTGTGTTTACACATGCTTGTAGGTTTCCCCCTTAAGGTGTGCCCAATGAATTTCGCCATTCCGAAACTGGTTTGTAGTTCTTCATGTTTACACAGGAATGTAAAACGATATCCTGACCTCAAATGATCTTAGACGCAGAATATATATACATCAAACTTGGTCATATCCTTTACTTTCTGATTTTGGTGGCCATGAGTTTAATTTGTTTCTGTACTTTTGTCAACTTCAAAACCTTGTACGAGGTATTTACAATATTGATTTTTATCAACGGTATATAACGCAGAGCACTGGGAAGTCGTCTTTTTTTAGCGGTTTTTTTATCCTCCTAATTCTCGCTGCTGTCACATATTAGTTCAACTTTCCCCAGTTACCAACTTTTGGAACCTTATACAAACGGTTGAGCGATTAAAGCGAGGAGGGTCGTCACCTGCGCACGCGCGGGAATTGAGTCCCAAGCGACGATAACAACACACGCTAAAAACGTAGGGTAGACGCTTGTTTGTAAACAATGACACGCTATGGCCATCTGACGCATGTGACGACTCGGTGAAGAACTGGTCAAGATCGAGACAAGGCAGATTTACTATGTTTACCTTTAAAAATAAATAACATATTATTCATAGTGCTACAATGTTTACATGTAATAAATAAAAGTACGACTACAAGAACAAAGTAAACATATTCAACCATTACAATAAATGGTAATTATGATCTCATTTCTGGCATTGAAGACATACAATAAAAACTTATACTTAACAGGTCCCTGTTTGTTCCTGACAGTATTTGGGTGAAATTATTGACAATAATGTGTTCATAGTATAGTAATATATATTTAATATAAGTTCACATTGCAGTGGGATAAAACTCTTCTTCAGTGATACCATAGTAAAATATCAGAACTTGTTTGATGTTGGTAACTAATGTATGTACGCTACTCAATATTTAATGTATGGCTGGATATGCGAACACAAATCCATTCCATTTAAACATGACTTCATTGCAATTTGAAGCTTTTAATTAATGGTATAGTAGAGACTTTAGAGTAGTTATGTATCCAGGCGTGCATGCCAAGATTTGAAAGTAAATATCCGCACATTTTTGTTTTTTAATTCTTTACGTTCATTTCCAACACCCTGGTAAAATAAACCTTAGATAATTCGTTATCAAAATAACCTTTGACCAACACTCAAGTTTCCCTGTTATCCATACTGCAGTGCTCGCGGTAACAATGGTATACATATCTATTGTTTTCATTTTTAACACGAGTACAGTTTTGAATTGGTAATATTTGGCATCAAGTATGTTAGTACATGTTCGTGTGCGAGCATCTATGATTAATTTTAATTATTAAACCACAGAAAACATTGCCTTTGATGTCCAATCTACTAATACTGGCTTGGCTTTGGTCCACAACCCGATTTTATTATTAGACGAGGATAACATCAATTTTATTTTTAGATATAAGCATAAGGCATCGAGAAATGACAAGTGTGTAGCTAGTATTGTCAAGAAATTCGTATGGCCAGTTGATCGTGCTGACTTATTTTACGCATTTGTTTGCTCTGAATCCATACAAAATAAACTAAATTATATTATCAAAACTCCAAATAATGACACAGACTACTGTGTTAAAATTAGTCATTGTTGGCATCTGCAGCTGAGGCATGCCATATGACTAAATTAGGCAAACTTCAGAACCAACCAATATGGTTTGATTTTGAATGTAAAAGTGTAAAGCGCCTGAAATATAAATTGCTGAGAAGATTTCGTAAGACAGACAAAGCAGATCATGCACAGTAGTACAAGGATGCAAAGGAACGGGTCAGAAATATGTGTCGTAATAAGAAACGTGATTATATAAAGGATCAACAAATAAAATACAATTGAAATTCTCCTCATCTAATAATAAACTATTTTGGTCCACTATTAGAAGAATCAATTTCTCACAAAACAGTACTCAAATAAAATTATTTTGTTAATTAATTATGCGACGGAAAGAAAGTTTAACTTATGGCCCATTTACTAATGATACAAACGCACTATCACTATTTGCCAGTAGATTACTCGGTGTGTCATACTCGACAACACTACCATCACTCAGTACCAGTACAGAATCAGCGTCTAATATGGTGGCAATGCGGTGCTGAAATGATAATAATATTTTATTATCAACTACTGAGAATACAATGAAGTCGACAATTTCGATGGTACACATTGTAGTCCATACTTACAGCAATAGTAAGAACTGTCATGTCAGCAAAAGCATTGGCAACTACTTGCTGTAAGATCTTATCCTATAAAAAACGTATATTAAACATATGTATTATATATCATACACATTTTGACGGAAAGGTAAACATCAGATTGATTATTTTTTGGTAACATACCGTTTTGATGTCGATTGATGCGGTGGCTTCGTCCATTACCAGGATTCTGGCTTTTCGTAAAAATGCTCTGGCTAAGCAGAATAACTGCCTCTGTCCAAGGCTGAAGTTTTCACCTTCTTCCGTGACTTGGGCATCTGAAATTAATTAGTACATTTGTAAATAAAATCACACATAATTGGGAACTATCATCAAATGACGTAATACAAATGAAGAATATCAGTCATATGAATCAACTCATGCAACTAACCATATAATATATTCATTTTCTTCACATAAAATAATGTATTTAAGCCAGTGTTTACCTAACGTCATATGCAATTCACTGACGACTGTTTTCAACTGGGCTATATCTAGAGCCTCCCATAATTCGTCATCAGTTCTCGAGTGTTCTGGGTCCAAGTTGAACCTACATAAAACAAACATGTCTATTAAATGATTTGGTAATACCGAATTGCTACGCTTTTCACTACGGTTCCGCACCCACCATATTTATTATAATTATTACTTAAAGCATGTCCCCACAAACGTCTTCAATTGGAATGAGCTCCTAAGGTATAGTAATTGGCAACTGAAATTAGTAAATACATATCACGACTTGTAAGAGTCCAATACACAAGAATTCAGAAGATTGCTGCACATGACATGTAATACCTATCCAGCATTCTAAATCACCTATCAAAAGCATCATTACAATAATGACCATTTTAAAATATCACTAAGGAACCCCTCCCAGTCTTCGCCACAACAGTAAATACATGTGGAAAATTATATTATATACACGTATAACAAATCGTGTGTTATTTAAGGTCATTGTACCTTATAGTCCCTTGAAATAAAACAGGATCTTGTGGGATAATGGCAAGTCGACTACGAAGTGTTAACAATGGAACATGGGATATATCAACGCCATCAATGAGTATACGACCTGCAAATAAAAACACATATACAAATGCATAATAGGTTGACAATTGTTTTCGTGTTACGTTTTTGTGCTAATTCGTCATTATTGTCAGTATATTTATGTCCTTCAATCTGAAAACCGTACGAGTATGTTTCATTCAGGATACTGAACTGAATTAGATACATGTATGTTTAAAAGGACACCTCAGGATCACGTCAATTACATGACTACACATACACTGTCCAGACTGTCTCAAGACTATATATACATTGATTATGTTATATACATTCTTCAATTGCCATTTACATAAATATTAATTAACACCCATATTTGGTTTGTTGAAATGCACCTTTGAAATCTACTTCTTAAGAATATAAAAAATGCTGCATAATACCTTGAAATGTGTCAATAATTCTGAACAACGCCAGAGTCAGGGATGATTTGCCACTTCCGGTTCGACCACATATACCCACCTGAACAGAAACAAAGATATTGAAAATTAGCATTAGCTAGACAAATTATAGATCACCAATATTTATTTTCGGAATAAACTATTTGATTTACTACGAGATTTATATCTGAGTTTCACGTCACCTTTTCGCCAGCTTTGAACCGAACACTGACATCACGTAACACAGGGTCTAGCCCAGCAGCATATCTCACGGACACGTTCTCTAAAATAATGTCACCTTTATCTGGCCAATCAGAAGGAGGGTTGTAAATTCCTGTCAATACATATAGAAATATCAATCACCCAGTGTCGTAAAATAAGCCCCAAACAGGTATGAGTCTCCAATCTTATATATATATATATATAGATATGATTTATATATGATCGAAAACATGATTAAAGTATAATGAAGTAATGGATACTAAATGATTATGTTCTCAAGAAATACTATAGGATTCAACAATTACCTTGGTATTGCTCTGTGTTTACTTGCGAATAATATTCGACTCGTTCCACAGCGTTCATGTACATCTCACAGTCTGCACCAGCACGAACCAACCATGTTAAATAGGCAGATATCTGAAATCATTATAATATACAATCATAATGACACCATTTATTTACTGTGAAAAACATACAAGAATAAATAATTTTAAGTTAATATGTGCCTACCGATATTGAATATGCCAAGGCCAATCCTACCAAACTTGGTTTAGTCTGACCCATTTCACATGATATAAGCGTAGACAAGCCAGAAATCAGAATAATCAGGGCACCGAGTATTTCCTGTAAAATAAAGTAATAACGCAATGTCATGACATACTCCCAACACTTCAATAGTTTAATTGTTATGTTTACCACATGTGTTCAACATAATGTATGTATGGGCATGATAATATGTTGGTTAAT